TGCGAGACGACTTCCGCGTGTAGAGAGAGGCGGGGTAACGTGCAAGCCGCAAGCAGGTATTATTTATCACTATATTCCTTACAGTAGAGTGCGAGTTTCTTAAATAATACGTGCAAACGATACATAAAATTGTGGGGAATCACCTGGGGGGTTACGAATACCTTAGAGCTTGAGAAAGAGGCTAAATATTCAGATTAAACTACAGGTCAAAAAGTTTCTAAGAAAGCTCCCTTGGTCACCTGTCAATTGGGTGACCAGGTGACCGCGCTATTGAACACCCATTCCCACCGATTTCCTTTACTCTCTTTAGATCCAGGGGTTGTAAATAAGCACGGAGACGCGAGGTAAGTTCTGTCAATAATATCACGTTTGAGAAGGTGCAAGAAAGTATCATCAGTTAATATTAGTTCACTATAACGGAGTGTATGGGAAGGCATTACAGCTTTGACCTGGTTTCCCATCCCGTAAAGGAAAGAAAAGTGTAACATATGTAATTCTTGTTCTACTGTTATATGTTATTTTCAAGTGTTTTGTGCCTTTCTTAGTCTGTAGTTATTTGTTTTTGTCATTATTTGATTATGGTTAGCCATGTGTATCCAAAGTAGGAAAAATAGGATCATTTTAGAATAGTATTATGATTAAAAGGATTAAAAGATACAAACAAGCATTGAAGGAAAAAGTGTACAAGAAACATGAATTACAGATTTTAGATATTGAAAATAATTTCTTATAACTGAGAGTGCAAAGTAAGCATGACTGGAGAATGTTAAAATCATGGTTGGACTTTCTTGGCATCAACATAAACCTTTTAATCTCTATACGATCCTGTAAGAGATATATCGATGTTAGATGGATTTAGGTAATTTTATCGGATGCCTTCGCATAACCAATGGCGATGATTTTGGTATTGATCGATTCCTCTCACCCTCTATCCAAATATATTGAAATTATACCGCTGAAACCCTGCTTCAGTGACAGTCTTACCTTTGATAGCAGGGGATGGCATGAAAGGTGCTAGGGAAATTGCAAGGTAGAATAATGATAGTCACAGAACCAGTCACTACATCGTCTAATGCAGGGGGCTGTGCCCCCTGTGACCCCTCTCCTGAGGGAGCTGTTTTCTCCAAACCCCTGCAATGAAAGACAAAGAATCCTCCACTTATTCATGGCAGGGTAGAGTATACAACTTACGTATGGGAGCTGTCGGGGCCAAGTCTGTCCCTCTTGCAGTCGGGGCCAATTCTGTCTCTTGCCGAACATGCATAGTGATTAGGGGGCAGTATCCCTACATAGGGGGGTGGGGGGAAGGTTGCAGGGGACATATCCCCTCCATTCAGCAGTATTGTTAGTTTACCCTGCAATTTCCCTGGTACCCATCATGCTCTCCTTTGCTATCGGGGTTAAGAATGTGTAAATTTGAGGGGGTTCCATGGCACAATTCCTACATAAATGTGTACTAGAGGGTGAGAGGAATCCATTGATACCAAAATCGTTGCGATCGGTTATGTGAAGGTATTGTGTAAATTTACCTTGTTTTAGATATCTAGCCTAATTTGTAAGTCTTTTTTCCCCCTCCCTCTAGATAGGAGACTGAATTAAATAAAATGTTATGTCCCTGAATTGACAGGTCAAGGAATTAATTTCGTAAGTATTGGTGGTATCGGCTCTAAACAAGTTGTTTCACATTTTTAAAAGTCAACCCTAAAAATTAAGAAAAATTTTGAAGCAAGGTCCTTTAAAATTCAAGAGCTTGAGAGTGATGTAGGTGGGTGGGGCCATACAAGGGAGCATGAACCCTTTCCATAAGATTTTAAAAAAATATTTGATGCTGAATTGCTCCCTGATAATTTTGTAAGTTATTGATAAAGCTTAAAGGTAAACAGTTTCATTGGTAATTCTTACCAATATGGATGCACTTGCCATACTGAGTCTCCAACTCCATGTCACAATTCTTTCAACAGTTCTAAAATGCCATGACTGGGCATGGAGATCTCCCCCCCAAACATGATTCCAACTCAAACATGAACATACAAGGAACTCAGCATACAGTAGATTTACACTGTGAGCAGCGATTTCCAAATTTTGTTTTATTGCGTTACCATTTGTGTCTGCAGATTTCTTTCTCTTTTTAATTTTTACATGTGACTGCAATTTTTTGTCCTCTTTAAGAGTATCATCTTCAATTTGTCTTGGCTTAATACATCCATTCTGTAAAGATTAACCATTCCATCATGCACGGGTAAAGAAATACTCTTTAATCTTTACAGTAAGGACACACTAAGTTCTGGCAAATTGAATATGATATTCTTTTAGGGGACAAACTTTGCAGTCTTTGGTACATGAAATCATCTGCAGACATGAACGATAATGCCAAAAATGAAGGTAAAAGATAACAGAAAGCGTCGCTCTTAGCCAAAGTCCATTCGGTGCTCCCAAGTTTCAGCTCTTTCTTGCTGTGCATATAAGGTGAAGACAATGTGTTCTGGGGGGTGTTGGGGAACAGAGCCCAGTCACAGCAACTTAGATTGATAAATAAATTTTGTAACGTGGAGTTGGGGACATAGTCTTTTGCATCCGTACTATAAAGAATTACCAAAGTAAGCATTACAGAACCTCTATTTTTGAAAACTCTAAAAGTCCAGAACAAGCCAAAGCACAGGAGAACAGAGGTAGGTCTATCAGTTCTTCTAAACATTTACCACAATATTTTATTTCTCTACCATGTACTATTATTCTTTATTTTCAGAACAAAATGGTGACCTTACGATCAGGGACGAGAACAAGAGGAGAAGAAACTAAAGAGGCAAAGTCTGAGGTTCTTGTAAATGGCAAACATACAGGCACTCTGAATGGAAAGCCTCCATTACTTAATGGTCACACTAATGCACAACCTAAGAAGGATACAAATGTAAGAGCGAGCAGGTAGATAAAACTGTGTAGATGATAAACTTTTTTCTACATGATGTTGGTATTGTAGTATTTTGTTTGTTTGATAGGAAAAATAGCTTTTTATTTTATATTTGTCTATCAGTCGTGTCATTTGCAGGGACTTTGATTTTAATTGACAATTTAGAAGTTTTTTAATCATATGTATCATTACTGGTATTATATTTGAGTTAGAATAGCTAAGCAGACATTTTTTTTAAATGAGCCTCTTACATTTGGTATTGTCTTAACCCAGTGCTGCCCAAAAAAAACTGTAGTATTCACTGCAGATTTGTTTTGTGAAATGTTTCTATACATAGATGGCTCCATAAGTGCTCACCTTTCCTTGAGTTTTTATGATTTTTTTCTTTTTTTTTCTAATTTTATCAATATTCATGCTGTTATTATTATTGTAGACATCATGATTATCATGATGTTATTAACATTACTAATAGCAGTGTAAGATAAAAGAAAAGATTTCCATAAATCAAGGAAAAGGATAAACATATGAGATTAGTGGTAATAGTAATTGATTCCTTGGTGACTAAGAACTTGTGGAGCCATCTATGTGTTAAGACAATAAACTAAACTTGTTGTGGGTATAGCATGTATGTACATGCCATCCCTTGTGGCAGTGGGTTAAATCTTATTTGATGATAGTTTTATATCATTGGAGTTATAAGCACTAATATTAAGTTTGTGTTTAAATGCCTTTTTTTGCTTACAAATAAATGCTAACCCAATAACTTTTTTGGCTCAGTTAAACAGTAACAACATAGTTAAAATTACAGCTGTGTTCTTGCTTTTGCTAGAAGGATTTTCATCTGGACATTTCTTTAGCAATACGACATTTACTTCTTTTTTTTTTTTTTGCGAGACACTTGCTCAAGGCCTACCCATGAAGGATATTTATATTTTTGAACATCTATACAGCACATAGTTTCCATTTGCTAAGAGAGGAGTGTCAATAATTGTTTTTTTATATAGTACCCCTCTTAGAGTTTTATTGTGTTTTTTATATGATCATTTTACAAGCCGTTTTATGAATAACCTTTTGTTACTACAGTTATCTAATCTGATATAGTGAGAGAAACATTAGGCCTAGATTACACATTCCAGTAGAAGAAAGCATGAAGATTTTATCTCTTTGTGAAATTGTTTTTTTCAGTCACCCCTTTTCTGCTAGTATCAGTTTAAACATCATGGAGAGGGGACTTCCATTGGTTTCATTCAAGAATTAGAGATTTAACTTTTGTAAGATTCAGTGGCTCAGTAGATTCTTTTTTGCCTCAAGTTATTAGGACCCCAGCTATTCGTAGTACTCTCAGAACTTGTAGGTTGAAGACATTATTATTGTTATTATTATTATTGTTTATTGTTATTATTATTATTATTATTACGTTTATTGTTATTAATATAGACATCCAGCTAGCTATTTCAATTGCAATCATTCTGTTATTGGTTGTTTCTGTGGCTAGTTGATGACAAGTTAGATGTGACTGGTACAGTTTCTGAAAAAATTTCTTGTTTGTATATCATTCCTACACTTAGATAACTTGCAGTGTTTTGTTATTGTTTTTTTACATCCCTTTTGTGATGGTTACAATTGTTGACTAGATGATTTTTCAGTCTAAGTAAGGGTGGTAGGCAGTGTTTATTTCTTTAAGTATACAATAGGTTTCATCTTTATTTTGGTGTTGGTGTACTTATACAGTTAATGATTTGATAATATTTAGTCTTTAGTCTTAAAAAAAAGATTGCTCCCATCATGTTTCTGTGACAATTTTGACAAACAGTAGTTTTTATACTTTCTTTAACCCGTAACATGCAAAAGGCAGTTATGGCATGCTCAAGTATACATACACACTGGACAAATCATGGCAAAGGTCATCTCCAGAAAAGATATATATATATATATACATGTTATAACTTTTGTTAACTATCTTGAATTAATTTGATTTGAACTAAAATGATCATGTATTAAAGTAAACCAGAAATGTATTTTCTTAGCCATTGTATATAATTATGAAGCTTTGAACTTTGCTATGTTTTAGGGGTTTATAATATATGATTTTTATTTTTGTTTGTGTTTTTTTGGAGTGAAAAATTGGTTTGTTTACTTTTTCATGTGAGAAATGAAGTTGATCTTGTGAGCTTTGAAGGTTTTTATTCAAATTATAATTTGTTCTGTTCTTCTTTTTTTTTCTTTTTTTTTCTGATGTTGGCTTAAGGAGCTTTTTATTTTTGTTTTTGCTTAACTTATGAAAAATATGAATGCAAAATTTTACATTTAATTTATTATCTTTATTCTATTTATATGATCCTATATAGGCATTGGAATCTGATGAAATAAAATAACATAATATATTTTATGATTTTCTTACAGGGTTCCAAGATGCAGAAAGTAATGTTCATCAGCTTACTGCTGGACCTCCTCGGCTTCACCGTCATTCTGCCATTGTTTCCTGCCCTCTTAGAATACTACTCTAGAAATGATAGCAGTGGACTGTACTCCACTTTGCTCTCGTGGATTGTTGCCTTCCAGGAGGCCATCGGAATTCCATCCAAATTCCACTCTGTTTTGTTTGGAGGTATTAACCTTATTCTTTCTTTCTCTCTTTTCTTTTTTTTAATTCTTACTTTCTTCATTGTTGTGATGATTGGAGGGGACAGGAAATTTTAGGGTAGATTCGGTGCCTTTCTATCCTTTTTATGTGAATTTTAAGATAAAAATTCATGTCTTCATCTAGTAAGGAAAACGAAAGATTGAACTTGGCACAGTCTGAATTGTGGTCCACAGACTGTTGCTTCTGATAATTTTTCTGATAATTTTTCTGTCCTTTGGTGTGGCTTTTCTCTCTATCCTTTTTTCTTTTGCTTGTTTCTTTCTTTCTCTGCTCACTCTATTTTGCCTCTGTCCACTTCTCCCCACTCTTCCTTTCAATTCTTGTTGTACATTATCTCCTATCACTTTTGCATGTGTTATCATCTCATCCTTCATGTACAAATTATGCACTTTTATATAAGGCTGAATTGATTAATTATTTGGGAGTGGAGTGGTTATTATTATTCTAAAGATAGAAAAGTTATACCACAAACTTATACTGCATCTTATACCACTTCCACTACTATTCTGAGTCTTCATTTTTCTTCTTATTATTATTTTATAGAGAGTATTTTTACTTCATTGCAATTTTCCTTAATTTTTGCTTATCCCATGCCATTTTCATTCATGATTATTGTAGCTCTCAGATAACAAGATCAAGATACATTGTAGTTCATGGTGTATATATAATTTTAATTTTGTTTTTATTTTAACATTTACTGTCCAACCACACACCAGTTTGTTAACATATTATTATACATATAGAGTTACTTCATTTATCATTTCCGTTTCTTCATCTCTAGGCCTGTTGGGGTCCCTGTTCTCCCTACTGCAGTTCCTGTCATCACCCATCACCCTTGTCTGATGTGGTCGAAGGACGGTGTTTATCTGTACCTTGGTATGACAGGAGGCTGTTGGCTTTTTTTTTTTGTTCATGATGTGTGGAATGGTGGTTTCCTTTATTTTCCCCAGTATATGATTTTTATCAGTTCTTAATATTTAAACATTTTATGCTTTACATTCAGCAGAAAGGATTATAGATAATAAGCAAATTTGTTCATTTATTATGCTCAAGTTGCTGTCCATTTATTTCAACAAGCATGTTTACAGTTTTATAACCTTTAGACAGTTAGATGCTTAAGAAATGTTAAACATTCTAGTCAGAGTCAAGGCAGTATAATTTTCAGATGCAGCCTATTCAATATTTGATCGTTTTGTGGAAAATATAAACTAAAGAAACAAATAACACTAAATCTGAACTACAGTCAATAATAGAATATAGTATGTCAAAGGTAGATATATATATAATGCACATCTACTCTTGTACACATATTTCACTCACCCCACTTACTGCACATGCACATGCACACAAATCAAAGTGAGTGCGTGCATGTCTGCGTGTGTGCGATAGATAGGTAGAGATAATATATATGGAAGTGTATACAAATAAAGTTAAAATGATAAGTTCAATATATATTTTCTAATCTTATTTTATCTTTGTTTTCTTTTTGGCATTAGATTGGAGTGGCAGCCTCATATGGCATGTGGGCCATAGCCAGTAACTTTGCCATCTTTGTGCTGGCGAGAATTATTGGAGGAGCAACCAAGGGCAATGTGTCTCTTGCTTATTCCATAATGACAGACATTTCGGAGGAAAAGACAAGGGCAAGGGGAATGGTAAGGAATGTCTGTCTTCTTTTCTCTTTTTATTCTATCTCTCTCTCTTTTCTTTAAAAGAAAGCTAATGTTTTGTTGAACCTTTGAATCTGTTCTCTAGTTTGTTCTCATACTGCTGCCCAGTTTTCACCTTTCTCCTCCTCCTCTCCCCTTCCTCTTCCTCTTCTTATTTTCTGTTTTTGTAGTTCATCTATTCTTTGTCCTTTCCTGAATGAATGATATATATATCTTTCTGAACTTTTTCTTTATTTTCGTTTTTGTATTGTTTAGGTCTTAATTCTCCCATCTCCCCTTTCTCCCCCACAGGCCATGATTGGTGTGGCATTCAGCATTGGATTTACGATTGGGCCAGCCATTGGGGCCATGTTTTCACGGTGGGGCAGCACAGGCTGGTTCATGGCCTCAGCTGTCTACGCTCTTGTGCTAGCTGTCCTCAATGTGCTGTACTTCTATGTCTTCTTTGAGGAAACACTGCCAGAGGTACAGTGAAAAAGGGAAAGATAGGGAGTGTGAGCATGGATATGAATTTGATGTGTTGGTATTGTGGTATGAGAGAAAGAAATGTAACTGGTGTGTATATTGCTTATTGCTATGTGTTTGTATCTACATTTTATGGATATATACATTTTTTCCTAACAAGATTGATGCTAATATCCATATTTTTTACTCCCTCTCTGTCTTGCAGTCTAAAAGAAGAAAGTCGCTCGGTACTGGGTTATCCGAGGCTTGGGATCTCATTAGCCCTTTCTCCCTCTTCAATTTCAGATCTGTGAAAGGCTTAGAAAAGGAAGGTGAGTAGTTTTTTAAGTACTACTTGCACTTGTGATAATATGAATAATAGTAAGATTAATACAGTTGTAGTATTTATATTAATTTGTTAGATTGAACCTGTTAATTTTGAATATTTGTTTTATGTGAGAACATCTAGTTATTTTGAAAATGTTTACAGTCATGTATTATACAAGTTCTGATTTTTTTGTCATGCACAATGTGAATCACTAGGTGATTTAAAAAGTATTTTGATCCAGAGAGGAATTTTAAACACATCCAATATCATCCAGTTGAAGCTCTTCCACTCACAATCAGCCAAACACTTAAATTAGAATGTGAAAGATATACCTTGTACCTGATTCTCACAGCAGTTTCCTTTTCAGAACGTGCCAGGTTAATAAGACTAGGACATGTGTACTTTCTGTACCTATTCATGTACTCTGGCCTGGAATTCACACTCACCTTTGTTACACATCACAAGCACCATTACAGCTCAATGGACCAGGGTCGCATGTTCACTTTCCTGGGGCTAGTCATGGCGGTGATGCAGGGTGGGTACGTACGCCGCATCAAGGACGGGAGTGAGAAATCTATGGCTAATATGGTAGGTATAAGAGTGGTTTTAGCTCTAGTATATATTTCAATTTTTCTTTCTTTTTGTTCTTTAATTTAGATTAGGATTTTTTTGTGTGTGTGTGGGGGCAGATATTTTTGTGAGGGATGGAAAAAGGAACAGACAACACACATCCATGTGTGCTTGTGTTTTTACAGATTTATGTAAATTGCCTGACTGATTAGCTTTACTTCAGCATCTTTGCTTTGGAAACCATATTAATGCCACATTAACTGAAATGCCAGTAAAACCTAGTCTACTATTGTTGTCGGATGGTACTGATTCAAGTCTTGATAAAGAAAGCAGAGGTGTATAAAGATATGAGTATTCATATATCTTACATCCTTTTGAGATTAACTATCTGATGTTACATTTTTCAGAAGAAGAAAGAAGTGTATTGGAAGAAATTCATTACAATGTATTATTGTCTTGAGATTTTTTATTGTTATTTAATGTTATAGAAATAGAAGTATGTGAATGCTTTTATTGAGATAAATGTTAGGATCTTTTGAGTATTGTCTTGAATAGGGTTTAGAAAATAAAGAGATTATATGCTTTTAGAATTTAGTAAATCTTGGTGGATATCAGTGAATTTAGATGAAAAATTTAATAAGTATAAATTCTTTGATATTTTCATTAGATTAAGAATTTTCATAATATCATTTCTTTGTTCTCATATTATCCTTTTCCTGTTCTGCCACCAGGGTTTGGTCATGATGATCCCAGCTTTCATCTTGGTTGGTGCAAGTGAGACTAACCTGGGACTCTATGCTGGACTTACCCTCTATGCTCTAGGTAATGTAATTTTGCGTACAAACTTTAAAAGACAAGATATTTTTGAAAGTTGAAGTCTTCATAGGAAACATACTTCTAATGGCTATTCATAATAAGTGAAATTACAGCTTGCCTTTTGAAATAGTTTATAATCATTCATACTCATTCAGAAAATGGCAAAAATCTTGATTTTTTTAGCAATGTGCAATCACTTGATTTTTAGTGTTTATTTTACCCCATGCTGATTGGAACGGCTTTACCTCAAGCTGTCATAACTTGCTTTTATGCTTAGTTTAGGCTGACAATTCCTACAATTTTTGCGATATCATGGGATAAGCTCGAGATACTCCCCTATTGTTTCATATGATGCTGTTGTTGTGCACCAGTTTTCTCTTTTTACTCTTTAGGCATTTATCCAAATCCTGAAGCTTTTTGAATTAGATCATATGTGAATGTTAACCCACATAGAACACGATCCCTAAACTTTTTATACCATGGACCTGACTCTGTTATGGAACCCTTGAATTCTCATCAACCTCAGGCATGTGCAAAAAATAAATGATAATTATGTACATATCACATCAACATTTATTATACATCACTCATTTTTACAACTATGAAATTAATTCAAGAATAAACTTCGGATTCTAAGAAAGAAAGATTATCATTATTACCATGGTCACTGCAAAAATGTAGCAACAATAATGGTAAAACCAGGGGGCTTTTCTTAATAAGAGATTTTGCAACTGTAAAGTTGTGGCACAACCGCTAACCTTGTTTCCATTAAAAGTTGAAAATCAACAGTATTTTATGCTGATTTTATTGTGATTTGTGAGGCATGTAAAAAGTAGATAATGACCATGATATGAATGACACAGTATGAAGCGTTCTATTTTCCAGCATCATTATATTAATGGGACTGTCCTTAAAATTAGAAGGGGGTAGTGGGGTAATGAGGAGGGGAAAATGGGGGTGATGGGGGTAAACAAAAAGTAATGTAAATTTTAAAAAAAAAAATCATACTGATTTTTTTCAAATTTGGATTTATTGTGTAATTTAACATTCTGTATTTTTGATACTAAATCTAAGTTTGCACAGATGTGCACTTGTATATAAAAACATATGCATACATGTGTGTGCGTGCGTGCGTGTGTGCACGTGCGTGCGTGTGTGCACGTGCGTGCGTGTGTGCATGTGGGTGTAGGTGTAGGTGTAGGTGTGTGTAAATGTGTGTAGGTGTGCAAAGATAACGAGGAACGGTTAGATTAACAAGCAGTATGTAGTTATGGAATAACCTAGAATCGTTATTTTATTTGTTAGAAATAACCATTTAGAAAACATTGATATTTTGAAATACAAACTCATAACTGTCTGGTCGAATGGACATTTCTCTTCTTAATGTAATAATACAAACTGTTTAATTATAGGCCTATAACACACGAGTTGATAGAGGTATTTGACAAGTTATTTTGGATTTTTAGCCTTATATACTTCAGTTGTTTATATTTAGTATAAAGTAGCTACATTATTACTATTATGTGTGTTCTCGATTGCTTGGGCTCTGATTTACACAAAAAACATAAATTTTAATCTTTCCTATGCACAAAGTCTAATGGGGTGGTGACAGCATGAAAAATCTCGCCTGGCTCGCTGTGCAGCCTCAGGACCATGTGGTTGATTGAAGTATCCTAAAACAAATGACTCGTGTTTGTTTATTTTTCAAGATAGAGACTCACCACTGCTTTTGCATTATTTTTTAACCCTAAAGTTGTATATATGATGTTTACTCAAGATTGAATCATATCTACCGCAGTTATAAAGAAAAAGATATGAAAAATTGTTTGATGCTTTTTAGATTTTCTTAATTTTTTTCGTCCTAAAACCCTCACATCGGTAGGAATCTGTTATCATAAGACACTTTCATCCTCCTGTGACTTACTTCAGGAGGTAATGTGAAAATACAAGTTTCATTTTCGCTCCAGTAGGGGATAAATACATTAGTGTAAAAATTGCCCATAGCACGATTAACTGGCTAGGAGTTTTTCTTTGCGGAGGTTTATATTCACATGAGTAATTCTACATTCCTACACAAGTGTGAAAATGCATTTAACTAATTTTTAATAAACCCAACCCCACCAAACCCCTCTACCACCCCTATTATTAGGGATGGTCCCATTACGAGTGTTACAATGTACTTATTCTTTATATCAGAGTGAGCCACACTAAGGTATGATTGTAAAAAATAAACTTCTTTGAAATACTTGCACAGTCTGCCTTGTGTCCTAATGTTATTTTTATTTTTCAGGTTCCTCCATGATGGTACCTTGTCTAACTGCTCTAGCATCTTACCATGGAGCTGATTCTCACAAGGGCACCTTGTTAGGGATATGGAGATCTCTTGGAGCCCTGGCCAGGGTCATTGGACCTATCGTCACCTCAGTCTGTAAGGATGCCTTTTAATTCCATTGTGTGTGCCTGCCTGCTTGCTTGCCTTTGCATTTTTGTGTGTTTGTGCCTGCCTGCTTGCTTTCCTCTGCCTTTGTGTGTGTGTGTGTGTGTGTGTGTGTGTGTGTGTGTGTGTGTGTCTGTGTCTGTGTGTCTGTGTGTGTGTTACTTCCCTGGTTCTTACCTAGTTGCTTTAATACTGGAGAAGAGCTAGGTTCAGAGGGTCACATCTGCTAAATGTAAATTATCACATAACTTTTGGAATTGATACATATCTTTGGCACACATAGCTTAATGTGGGAGGTTATTCCATTATCTTTTTTTTTTTTACTGAAATTTTTGCCATCTTTATTGCCTCTTTTTATTGTCAACCGTCCTCTCATTCTTCTTAGATTTCATATTATAAATCCATCTTTATTTAGCTTTACTCCTCCTGTTACATAGCTATACAGCATAATCATGTCTCCTTTTTTCCTTCTTTCATCTGGAGTAGTTTGTCCTATTTTCTATAGTCAATTTTCTTACTACATATGCATGGATGTATGTGTGTGTGCTTGCATGCATGCATGTGTATATGTGCATATGAGTACAAGTACAAGTCTGTGTGTATGTACACTACTGTTATAAATGTTAATTGTAAATTATTCTTGTTAAGTTTTTAATATATATTGTTATTTTGTATTTATTATTTTTATCATTATTATTATTGTAACTATTTTTCTTATATAGCAATGTAAATATTTTGTTAATTGTTTTTGTTATCAGTATCATTGTTTTTATTATTGTCTTGATAAAGATGACAATGTTTAATGTGTTGTTATGCCTTTTCTTTTCAGTCTTCTGGTGTGTGGGAGCTGAGTTGTGTTATATTGTGGGTGGCCTGCTTATGGTGGTTCCACTGATTCTTTTTCAGTCTTACTGAATAGCTCATTAGAGAAACTCTAATTTACGTTAAAATCTCCTCAGTTAGAGTATCAGGTACTTTTGAACAAAATGGAAGTAATCTCTTTTTGACATTCAGGTTTATTTTTATATATATATATAGATATTTGTGCTTGCATGAATGTATATATATATATGTATATTTTATTTATTTATTTGTATATATAATATATATATATAAAAACACATTCACACATATATGAATATATATATATATCATTTTACGGTAATGCCACATTTGAGATATTTCTTGGATAATAGGTATGTTCATTATATTTTTGGGAAATACAGACAAGGAGTAAGTGTAAGATGACATTTTCCCTTTAGAAAATTTGGTTACAAATTTACTGTATTACATAAAAAAAAACATTTTTATTAAAAAAACATTTGAATCCCTCTAGGGCTTTAGAGCAAACTTTGTTACGCACATGAACAGAGTTCATTGTGAGTTGTTGAGAAAACTAAAGATAAGTTTAAGAAATTTAACAAAGATGTTTTTTATCAACTGATTTTATCTTTGGAAATATTTCATGGATATTTTAGATTGGAATGTTAAATAATACCATATTATACCATACCTAAAAATGCATTGTTCACTGTAATTTTCTTTTGGCAAATGTCTCTGAAAATGAATGGCAACACAAGTTTTCAGCCACCAAAGAGTCAGTTAGTAGAATCTTGTGACATCACCTGATCTCACATTTCCTTTTTTTTTATTTTTTTTTACACCGGTACTATCAGTATCAATACTATCATTATTATTATTTTCTTTGCTTTTATTCTTATTTTTTATGACTATTTACCAATACTATCAATATTGATGCAGTTATTATTATAAAAGACATTTTGATTATGATAATGTTATTAGCATTACTAGTAGCAATATAATATGAAAAAATGATATTTCCAAAAATCAAGGAAAAATGTAATCAGGTTAGAAATATAGTACTAGTAGTTCCCTCATTGATGACTTAAGTACTTGTGGAGCCATCTATGTGTAAAAAAAATTAACAGATAAACTCAGTGGACATGGCATGTACATACATACCATCTCTGGTAGCAGTGGGTTGAGAATTTCCATTCTGTTATACACACAGTTACATGGCAGTGATAAATCTATTTGATGCAGATTGATTGACGCCTGAGATTTAAAGCTTGCAGATCAAGCAAGATCTGTGATTATTCATACATACATCCATATATATATATATATATATATACATATATATATATATATATATATATATATATATATATATATATATATATATATATGTATATATAGATATATATATATAAATACATATATGTATTTATGTTATTTTCTTATGTGTGACGTTTTGTTTGGAGTTTATTGAAACTTTTTATCAACATTTATGTTTAGAAATCAAATGATGAAGTTGCTTTAGGTGTTAATCACATTTGAAGGGGCTGTCAGGGGATGGCAGATTTACATATACTTTCTACAGTCTCTTCATTTATCATTTCCTCCATATCACATGAGTGCACTTACTTCAATATGTTCATGTATCTGAAAACAGCAGAAATGTTTTTCACATAACTTTTTGAGGTGCATCTAGACTAGCTTCAAAACATTTTGGATATATCATAACTGCACAATAATATTTTTTAAATTTCAGGAACAGTCAGTGTCTATAAATCCTCAATGTCAAAAAAATAGGCAGCATCTTGCAAAAAAAAAAAAAAAACATTGTTGGTCAGTTTCCCCAGCTAATGTGCCAGGACTGGCACTTCAGTGTTATCCTTTCATATAAACTTGAAAGTGATTTGAAAAGACCTGTGTGCTTGGACTTGCTCTGTTATGATTAATTGTTTTGTTTTGTTTTTTTGATAAAGCAACAACAACAAAAATATGTATTCATAACAGAGGTCGATCTTAGCCTGTTGTAGAAAGTAAAGATTAAATGACTTGTGAGATGTTTCCATGTATATGCACTAATTGTTACAAATTTGAAGATTTACCTGTGTTGAATATAGGAAGTACACATGTGATAGCTCCTTTATTTGTGCATTAACAGTTCATTTGATAAGAAAGAACAAGATACCAGAGGTTCCTGTGATATGCTACTTAAGAATAAAGAATGAATGAGAACTCAAAAGATGTACTTAAATGCATTTCTAGTTTATAAACAATGTTTTTAATGCTGCATAAAGAAGCTTTTACTTTTAGATATATAATTAATCATTCCATTTGGTGTGGCTGTATTAAGCATTAATTTATTCTTACCATCTAAGGCATATTAGATTAAGATCTCATACTCCAAAAGACCCAGTAAGCTTAAGCATGCATTAACGATTTTGCTTTTATATAAAAGTATTCTAAGAATTGCTAAGATGAATTCAGGTAAAGTAAGAAGAACAAAGAAAGGAAGATTGCTAAAAGATGATTCTAAGAAATGAGTAAATTTTGAATAGTATGTCATGTATATAAATGTTCAGATATTGCTGCTGTTGCCTATTATTGTACTTTGACCCCAAGCAGATGGATCCCATGATAGTACATCATTCACCATGAACTCCTTCAACCCAATACCATGTAAATAAGTAATGAATATATATATTTTCACTTTTACTTGAATCACTACTGACTATTTTTATAATGTAAAGCATAATATTTTAAATAAAAGAGTAAGTTCATATGTGGGTGTATTGCCCATCTGCAAGGGGTTTATTATGTGTTGATGTACTGTGTTAAATAATGTTCATGATAAAGATGTAATGCATTAATTGAAAGAGACAGAACCTGTTTTAAAAAGATATTATTGTGTATGCAACAGACCCTGTGTTCAGTGCATATCACAGCATACTGTTGTGTGCATTTTGTTGATCATGTGTGTGACAAGTGTGGATATTAAGGCAAATACTTTCAGGAAATTATCAGTATTTTTTATTGCTTTATTTGTGATTTTGTTCAAGGGAAGTATTAAATGCATAGAATATAAAGAAACACAGGAGCTCTTATGATTTTTCTGCATTAACTATGAGTATCTTGCATGATAATTAACGTGACTGCAAGTTAAAATGGTGATATTATTTGTTTTACGCTTACCATTGAATGTTTTTGTTTGGGAGAGGGATATTTCCCTCTTTTCATATGGGTTCATTTTGAAATTAGGGGAGAAAACAGATTGTATGGTGGTTTATATGTGATTTTTTTTTTTTTTTTAAGCTTTTCATTAGCACAAAAATACTGAGACTGAATCTGCTGCTTTTAAGACTACTAAGCCTTTTGTAACAATTCCAGATTAGAACCAGTTATCCTAAGAATAATTATTCCAAAATGGTAATCAGAATGTGTTGAAACATTTCATTGGTTCACTGAATATTAAAGTAAATGTATAAAAGGAAAGGGGAAATAAAGAGGAAAATCCTTTTCATTTAGAAAAGTGTTTCTGCAAGTAATTTTCTGGAGTAATGTGTGGCAAAACATCAGCAGGAATCTTTTGTTTACAGCCCTATATAAATCTTTAATTAAAGTTTAATTAGTTCCTGATTACTGTATCCATTTGGTTATATTGGCTATCATTAGCTTAATATAAGGTCAAGTATAATTTGCATCCTATAAAAAATATTATCTGAAACCGTGGATTGCAAGGCAGAGCTTGCTCTGTTTGTTAATCTTTTTCTTCCAAGACAGTACCCAGAATGATTTTCAGATACACATACACACATCTCCTTTCTTTCTTTCTTTCTTTTTCTTTTTCTTTCTCTCTGTATACATGTAATTGCACACCACGGCATGAGATCAGAGTACATTCCAAGGAGTTAGAAAGTAGTTCCTCTTATTCTTAAGGTCTGTAGTGTGTGTAATATGAAGGAAAAATACTGAGGCAGATAAGGATTTGTATATTTTTATTTTCATTCCTTTTTGATAGTTTTTTGATGGGCACTCTGACTTCGTGTATTGAATTCAATTAAAAGGAATTGGCATGTAAACTGTAAACTATGAAATTGAAGTTGTTAAAACTCATAATCTACTTGCCAAAATAAATCCCTGACTAGTTGCCACTGCCAGCCAATTTTCAGATTTTTTTCATTTGCTTAAACTACTTAAGGTGATCTAGAAACATTGCACACAGTTACTAAACTTTATTTTTAACACTATTATGAGTTTAAGCTGTGGATTTTAAACACCAGAATTAACTATCCGTGCATTAAAAAGTTGACCAGTTTGTGTAGTGGTGAAGCATCTGGGGTTTATGTGTGTGCTGGTAGCAGTCCACTTAATAAATAAGAAAGGGATTCAATTGTATGATGTAGATTTGAAATAATACGCCCTATTTGCTTAGTGTAAAATTTTAGCAATAGAGAAGTTATCATACAATATATAATGTCGGGATGTCACCTGCATTGTGAGAGAAAAAGAAATAAGTATCTTTACTTACAAAGAAAGAAATGTAAAGAATAATTATATTTATTGAAAGTTATTCTTCCCTTGTTGATGTATTTGTATATTTTTGTATTCTGTTCTCCAGGTATGTTCTGCATATTGCCTATAGGTGTAAATTATGACAATGGCAAATTGTTATCCCTCACTGTTTCTTTAGTTTTTAAGGCACAGTAAATTAAGTTTTTCATCACTAGGACCACTTGATTTTTTTAATGATCTAAATTATTACACAATGTCTTTGAATTATGTTTTCAAATGTAATGATATCATATCTTATTTTTAGTTTTAGATGGCACATTAATTTGATATGGTACTGAGGAATGTCTTTCCTTTAATTTCTTCACTTTCATGAATTTCTTATTTAGTTTTAGGTATTAGGGTTCAAACATATCTAGAAAGTATTTTGTATTGTAAGTGAAAACTATCTTAAATTCTATGTCTGGAGATTGTAATTTTAGTATTCAAATATTTATATGTATATTTATTTTTGCAATGCCAGTGTTTTGCCATAAATAATGAGAGTTAAAGAGGAGTTTGCTTTAAATTTTTATTAAGCTTTTCAATCGTATGAGGAAAGTTAAGGTGTAGTTTATACAGCTGGATTAATGATATTTGTTTTTGAAATCACCTTGGTAATATCATTCTCCTATCTTGAATTTGTTATTGCATAGTTTTAACCCTTAGAATAGAAATGATGTTCCTGGAAATGTTAATTGTTAAAATCACGTGTTTGTTGTTCAAAGTTCTTCTCAACATATATATTACTATACAACATTCTCAGATATTATATTTTTATCTCTGAACAATAAAGGAGAGAATCCATCTCGTGTAGTTTCACTTCAGTTTTCTTGTGTGTGATTTTAGAGAGTTGTGGCAGATCCAGGATGTTTTCAAAGAGGGGCTGACTGCGTGACAAGGGACACCAAGCATCAAACAAAATAGTATGTAGCTCCTCCAGAGGGAAATTTGAGCATTACAAAAGCACTTTCAAAACACCCTGTAGCAAACTGGCACTTAAATGTTGATTAATATTGGAAATACCCCAAATTGAGTTACACAACTGAGCATACACATGAATTCATATTCATAGTTACATTAAGTTATGTACATATAACTGTAACTATTATTTTGTTACTAATTTTGGCACAATGTTACAACACTGTTGCCAAAATTATAACCTGTTGTCCAAGGCAAAATATATGGTAGGGTAGCTGCATCCACTACCACTGACAGAGAAGGTTCATGTATGTATGCAATTAAGACCAAGGTATGAAAAACATGGAAACAAAAACATCCAGTTTAAAATCAAAGAACAGTTTTCTTGCAGGAGATGGAAGATGGTCACTTAAATTCACGATGCTAAAATTCCTGAAGTTGGACTCAAAAGCTACTTCAGAGATAAAGCTAGATGATACAATGGCAATACAAAGTGGATATGTTTGAATAGCATGTAATACATTTTTTTATTTACCCAATCTGATACTAAGTTCTGAAACACTGTAATAATTTAGGAGTTATACTATCAGTATTACTAACATTGACTGGACACATTACATTCATATTTGATAAAGCCAAACTGTCTAGAAAAAGTTCTATATGTGCATTTCATCCAAAGAAGGTAATGGAGAGTAAAAGATTCCTTTGAAATAAAATACATCCCTACCAAAAATAATGTTCATTTTATATATTACACTGCTTATTAAATACTCTCGTATATACCATAGTGCATGCATTACTAATGAACAATATGAATAATTTTGTGGTGTGGCCTAGTTGCAGTGCAGTAGTGTTTCGTTTTCAAAAGTTCAATAGGCATTTTGACATCATTTATAACTCGTATTGTAGATTTTTTGGTTTTACATTAATATGCAATTCATGATATTTTCAGGATACTAGTATCTAAAATCTAAATTAATAACACATGTATATCTGTAATTCAGGTTGAGTATCACTGCATAATTTCCACTAAAGTAAAGGTGTAATCAAATACCACAAGCCATGGTTAAAACAAGCCATGGTTAAAAAGAAAAATATCTCACTTGTACATGTAATTAAATGAAATTATTATGTATTTCCTAACAGTGACTAAAGATTATTGAAGCAGGTAAGTGTGTAAGTTCATTCTTTTCATAACAGCCATTTTAATAAGCATATCACATTTACAGGTATTCTCTCATTTCTCTCACACCTTTATCTTTTCAAAGGCTGCTTGTCTTCACATCTCATTCTCTTATCCCACATTTTGGTCAATGAATTTCTTATTGTCTTGAATTCTTCTCATCGTGGATCCTCATGCTTTTTCCTACCCATATGTAAATCATTATCTTCCCTCACGGTCACTTCATCTTCTCTATCATTTATCCCTCACTCCCAAGTAGTACATGGGCTCCATAATCTATTCCTCATCCTCTTGCCACTCTTCCTAATTCTTCAAGATTTTGCAAAACATTCCTCTTACTTCTTGCGTCCCTTGCACATCACCAACATTCATTTCCTTTGTCCAGTTCCTTCATCCCTCTCACAAATTACTGGTCTTCCTCACACCATGCGAACTTCGTTCCTTCAGAGCTCCAAGCCTCATTCAACGTTCTCACACCACTTTCATTCAGTTCCATCATACACGATGAATACGCTCCTCACACCCTTCTTTTCACTCCTCGTCCCTCAGGCTCCCTTAGACCCTCTCGTCCCTCAGCCCCCTCGTCCCCCACCTCATCCCCTCACCCCCCCCCCCGTCGCGTAATCTTCCCCTCCCCCTTACACTAGACTTTCCGACGTGTTCTTCGGATTGGCGCGAGTATGAGGGGCGGTTTCCGAAGGGGGCGGCTGGCCATCTCGACGTCCTCCTCTCTTCCTGGCGTCTGTTGCTGCTCGTTGCATAATTGCAGCCGCCAGAGCAAGGTGAGAGATCTGCAAGAATGTATGCGTCGGAGTACACTGATTTTGCGCGCTTATAATTGGCAAGAAAACTGTTTGACTGGGTCCTGACAATAATGGTAGAAGCCTTTTCTCTCTCTCTCTCTCTCTCTCTCTCTCTCTCTCTCTCTCTCTCTCTCTCTCTCTCTCTCTCTCTCTCTCTCTCTCTCTCTCTCTCTCTCTCTCTCTCTCTCTCTCTCTCTCTCTCTCTCTCTCTCTCTCTCTCTCCACCTACCTAAGTACTTACGTACCTTATCTATCTATTTCTTTATTTACCTATTTATCTATATCTCTATCTAACAGTTTGTCTGTCATTATCAATCTATCTATTCATCTCGCTCTCTTTCCAATCAGAAAAGTGTAAATTAATGAAAAACAATAGCCATCAGATGAAGGGGTGAAATAAACCTGCAAGAGACAAAAGTCTTACTTGTGAAAATGACTGCGTGGCCCTCAGAGGCGTGTGGCTGGCGGGCTCCTGCTTCTCCTGCCGGGGGCCCGTCTGCGCCCTGTCGAAGGAGCGCAGGCTGGCCGAACAGGCGCGGTTGAGGGAGGCCGGGCGGCGCCTCGTCGTTCCTGGGGAGCAGGAGGGGGACGCCTCCCCTACAGCTGCCACCTCCTGCTGGGAGGCAGCGCTCGCTGCAGCACCGCTGCTGTAGCTGCCGGCGGTGGCGTGGGCGGCCGGGGGTATGCTGGCGTCAAGCGGGAGGCCGGTGTCCCTGGCGGGCATTTGGGCGTTGCTCGAGATGAGGCTGTGGATCGTTGGGCACTCCGACGAGTACTCGAGCAGCTGTTGGGGCAAGGAAAGTGAGTCAGAGACAGTTGGAACGAATGCAAAAGTTCTCACAGTCCTCACTAAGAAAGCACCGACATCATACAAGACATGTCAGACGCCCTCCTACCCGAAGCCGAGCGGCGAGCGCGTTGTGCCGATCCTCCTGCCGCCCGGCGTCCGCGCCCTCGGTGAATGAGCGGCATTTGGAGAGCTTGGCCGTCCCGCGCGCTCCTGTCGGGCCTCCAAGCGCACCGCTACGAAGAAGCAGCTGCCGCACCAGGTCTGGCAGCTCCATCGAGTTCCTTTGTGTTTCCTTCAGCTGCTGCAGAAGGTCCACAACGCGATGCAGCTCCGCCTTCCGCTTTTCCTGTGGCGTCTGGAAGAGGTCGTTCGGGGCGACGCTCGAAGCCACGCCCACTGGCTCCACGGCGGCCTTTGGACGTCGCTGCAGAAGGCGGAGAGCGGCCAAGTGAAATCAAGACAGTGTTCGGTGAAAGATAGGAAACTTGCGCAAGACAGCAAAGACACCGGCCTCGGCCAGATGTCAAACCCTTCACAGTCGTAGGCAAAGGATTGCAATTTTTTTATAGCCTTTTTTCTACGATCATATATATGTAGTAGTTATGGCAGTAACAGACAAGATCTTTAAAACACTATATAGTGTTTATTTTCTTATCATGCCATTACAGATGATCCAGAATTCCCTTCGTCTGCAAAGGCCTGGCATGTTGGACATATTTTCCCATCAGCCTTACGACCCTCGAGCAAGGTACAGCGCCACTCACCCGGGCGACCTGTGGATCCGGAACTTCGTCGTCGAACTTGCCCCGCACGACCCCGCCGCGCAGATCGCCGTTCCTGACCCCTTCTGAGCCGCCGTGACCCACCTCCGTCTTGCCTCCTGACCCCTGGCTTCGATGCGGAGTGGCGCTGAAGAGGGCTGACGCTGAAGGTGGGCGGGCCATTGCCTCTGCTGCCGGTCTGAGGACACGGAGGGAGATCGAAGTCATGTTAGTCATATTAGTGTTTTTTTTTTCGATTTTCTTAGGGAGGGGAGGGAGAGGGGTTATGCTCACTCCATTTACAGAAGTCGAATACCTACAAACATACAGTCTACAGCCAAACCATTTCCAAAAAAAAATGCTCTCCGTATATAAGCAAAATAATCAACAGACCTTTGACCTCGCCTTGATTTCCAATTCTCCACTGACCTGGCTCCGTGCACGGCCTTCGAGGGCAAGGTCGACCCGCGGGAGCTGTCCCAGGTCATGCTTTCAATGACCAAAGGCACACGACCAGCTGCATTCAGCCTCTCGCCCTCAGAGTCGCTATGTACAGGAAAGTATGCGGTGGTAAGGCACAAGACACGTTGTCCGGGGATATAAATTCAGCTCCTTATTGAAAGCATGGCAATGCGTGGAGCAAAAATAAAGGGAATTAAAGCAATGTGTGAGAATTTGGATAGTATGTGAACCAATTAATGGCCAGATATATATGCTTAATAGCTGCGTTATTTCTCGCGAGTTTAATTCATAGAACATATTATATAAAGGCATATAAGAAGAAAAATATGTGTCTAATGATTCCTTCTCATAAAATGATACATAAAAAAATGAGTCAGAAGTCTTTAAAGCATAATGTAATCTAGGGATTCTAGATTACAAATTCTCACTAGAAAAATATCATCTGCTCATCCTACCCGGTATATCGAATGCAACCTCATCCTAAGGCAATACCATTCCTTTCATTATTATCCTTTTCTCACAAAACACAAATGTATTCAAGGAAAGATGCCACACCTGTATGACGCAGACGACCTATTACGGCTGTTGTCGGCGCGTCCTGCACTTCCTGCGGGAGTCGTGTGCGTGACTGCGGAGGAACTCACCTTGGTCCACGGGCGCCCCGTCACCGCCTCCCACACCGCCTCCGCCACCTGCGCCATCGAGAGGTTTGCTATTCCTCATTTTCTTTTCTACTTGCGATTCAGTATATATCTCGAAGAGTTTATGTAATGGTTAGACAGGTAGATGCATAGACCATAAGACAACTATAATGACGCATACAACATTCCATATATACATATAAAGGGACAGGAAAATTGAGTCAAAGACGACTGAAATCTGACAAACAGACAGTATCTTTGCCTTTCGCTTCATGTCGAAAAGGATGAAGATCAAGGCTCCCTGCAGGCCGTTGAGAACCGTGAACGGATACCAGCATGCGGGGATATCCGCGAACGCCGCTATGAATCCGGTGAGCCACGTGAGACCTTGGATGACTCCTAACTTCACATAAAGCAGAAGTCTCACTCGCTCCTTCTTGGCGTGGCGAGTCTGCGGGAGAGGAGGGCCGTGTGTCAGGTTTATTCATCATGTGTCTATGGATGGGCTTACGGGATTGATGATATACATAGCCGCGTGTGGATGTGTGTGTCATAACATGTCAAAAAGAAGTTGCACCTGTGTCAGCTGGCTCGAAAAGCCGGTTTTTGTTTTCTTTTGTCCCTCCTTGGTGCTCTGGGATCTCACGTTGGCGTAGCGCGCAGCCTTCATTTGCCTGCAGATGCCATACGCCGAGATGATGAAGAGCACGACGTTCTCCTGCACGATGGCGCCCACCGGTAGGAGGAAGAAGAGCGCCAGGCCGTGGCGGTTGTTGATCCAGCAGAGCCTCGTTGCATACTCCGGCCGGTAGTCCGGCAGGAGGTCGACCCAGTCCAGCAGGAGCGCGAGCGACACCACGAGCGCGGGGACCGTCCAGGCGTAGAGCGAGTAGAGGAGGAAGGTCCGGCCGCCGTCGGAGTCGCCGCGGTAGAGCTGGCTGCTGAAGGTGCGACACACGTCCACGCTCATCACGTTCATCCAGCAGAAGGAGGCGAGCCAGAAGTAGTGCAGGCTGCACGACAGGAACACGCACAGGCCGTACACGTCCGTCTCCCTCGTCCCCGCCAGGAACAGGACGTGGGCGACGAAGAGGCAGCACGAGAGCGAGAACAGGTTCTTCCCCGGCAGGTTCCTGTGTCGCGGGACGAGCATGAAGACGGCCATGTGGAGCGCCAGAGCCACGAGGGAGACGCTCAGCACGACCAGCGTCAGGTACTGGTGGGCGGTGCTGAAGGCGTCGGCGTAGTGGCTCGCGTCGTGGCAGACGAGGACCTGCGTGTCGTTGGTGAGCTCGAACTCCCCCTTGGCGTAGATCTTCTTGGAGGCGTTGACGAAGATGGAGCCGTCGCTTCGGGGCGCATACTCCGTCAGGTTGAGGAGCCTCTTGGGGCACGCACTGTCCAGGAGGGTCGAGTTGGAGAGCGACCCGTAGGCCTCGAGGTCCCTCTCGCACCGCCCGCCCACCAGCCGGAACAGGTGGCCGCAGTGGATCTTGTGGCACATCTCGAGGACCGGATCCCACAGCTCCGTGGCCTCGTCGCAGCGGCCGCCCCGGAAGTCCATGAGGACGCTGAAGCAGGGCGGGATGTTGTGGTAGTAAACAACTAGCCGCCTTTTTCCTGGCTGGAGGCACTGAAGGTCGCCTTGGGAGACATTGGCGAAGTTACAACTGGCGCAGTGAGGGTTTTTATACGTCACGCTGTTTTCTGTGCTTCCGTAGGTCATCATAAGAGAGTAACGTTGACATTTCTCGAAGTCTATGCGGTCAGGCCAGTCAGGATGACAACGACGTACCTGCTGACAGAGGAGAAAAACGCGTTGAAGGGGTTGTTGAGTTTCACTTTCAGGGAGTATTGCAAAGGATCCTTTCCACACATTACAATACATATCTGGAACCAGATGGTGAGTAATTACCAGCATTATGGTCAGACCTAACCGTACTCTAAGCCTAATCATTTAGATCCTTGGCGCGCCATTTCGGTGAGCCAGACCTCGAGCGGTCTCTGAGATCCTTTTCTTTGTGGTCAAAGATTGTTTGAGGAATTTCTAGACTAATATCAGGAAGTTATAACGTTATTATAGCGTTTTAGAACCAGGTTTGATGCATTTACGTTAACTTGAAAACATTTGTATGAACTACAACACAATAAAATTGTATTCAGTTGTAATAACCAAATGTTTTAGCTTTTGATTCGCACAATCAGTTTTCCCTCTTCATATGAACTGTAGTTAGGCGTAATAGCATCGCACTGCCCAGAACTGCTTGATAAAATGGCAGAAAAATATTTCACACAAAAGACTTTCACTGGCAGATGAGACAGCCACTGCGATATCCCTTATCTTCAGTTACACATACATGTACATGCCCATGCGTAAACACGAAGATTCACATTATACAAAAACACTACTAAAATATTTACATCATGATCTTACTTGCTCCTTGGGCGAGTTTTGATCGTCGCCGATGATTTCCTTCTTCGGGTAGATGCACGGTCTGCCGCCGAAGCGCCCGGCGAAATCTTCTGCGCTCTTAAATTCGTTAATCTGTTAGGACATTACAGGGTTCATCACAGTGACATTATACCGTGTATTTCACCACAAAACAATAAAAACAGGCAAGGAAAGTGCCTGTGGCCAGAGGCGGTTACTTCGAGACATCAAAGTTGTCTCACATTATTTTAATCTACAAACCCAAGATCTTTGCGAACGGCTCCGAATCAACCAGCGGGACCTCCAGCGGCACTAGTCCATGAAGCACGATATCGTTAACGGTTCAAAAGAGGAGCTAGGGTAAAAAAATACATAAATAAAATAGAGATACAATGCTCATAGGGTTTAAGGTATCGCTGGTACTTTAATACCTTAAGATCGCAGTTAAAAAGAAAGAAAGAAAAAAAACTAGCGATATTTCCTTGTTAAGAAAGTACCATTTTTTTAAAACGATATATATATATATATATATATATATATATATATATATATATATATATATATATCCATACATACTTACCTATATATATGTATGTATATATATATATATATATATATATATATTATATATATATATATATATATATATAGATAGATAGATAGATAGATTAGATAGATATACACACACACACACATGCACACTCACACAAACACACGCAGAGCTTGCAAAGGAAAATACCTGGCAAGAGCAGGTGTGTGTCTCTTCATAGATGCCCTTCTGTTCATCCTCCTCGCTCTTGTACGTGAAACGCTTCCACTCGCGGCGTCCTGGGTAGTAGGTCGCCTTGCTCATGAACTCTACCTTCGAGAAGTCCTTCAGGATCTTTCATTGCGAGATGAAATTATGGTGGTTTGTTATTTGGATTGGATATGCACCTGGTTGTCACTCTAGGATTCCTTCAGACAATAAAAATGCTTTAGATACTCTTCATGACCTTTCCAAATATTCAATATGGTGTTTTTTTGTTTTTTTTTTTTTTACCTCTTGCGTGTTGCAGATGATATTGATAGTCCAGTTATGCAAGTCTGAGGCGTCATCGTTGCAAAGGGCGCAGTAATAATTTGCGTAAGTGATGTTGGTAGCCCTGGAGGTGACGGCTACATCCAGTACAAACGTGTAGGCTTCTCTTGTCACCTGATCGTTGCATAATGAATAATCATGAACTTGAGGTTATTCGTATTCTACAAGGACACTACTTCAGAAATATGTCATTAAAACGAAGGAGAAAACAAAAAAGAACAAGTAAATATAAAATAAATATAAATATCTATCTATCTATATACATATATCCATATACATACATATATAGATAGATAGACAGACAGATAGATAGGTAGGTAGGTAAATAGATAGATAGATAGACATACTTGTTTATATATAGATAGACAGATAGATAGATATACATATACATATACATATGCATATATATATACATACATACATATATTTTTTTCATATATATATATATATATATATATACTTACATACATACCTACATACATACTTATATATACATATGTAAATACATATACATACGTATATATATATATATATATATATATATATATATATATATATATATATATATATATATATATATATATACATATATATACATATATATTCCATGTTATATTCTTAACGACTGCTGCATATTACTTATCTCATGTATACAGGGAGTAATGTTACATCATATATCATATTGTTATATATTTTCCACTAAAAAAACGTTTTCATATTTCAATGATGAGCAAACAAAATTGATTACATGCCTGGTTAAGAGCGAGGTGCGATTTATACTAATTTACACAACTACAAACCACAAATCATTATGATAATGTCCTGCTATCACTATTGCTACCTATAGAATTACTATTATACATTACTATAGCTATCGGAACTTTAATCATCACTATAATATATAATCATAACTATCAGATATCGCATAACTTAAACTTGCATCAGTGGCAGAAATAAGTTGTCTTTATGAAACATAATTGTTACAAGTAAGTCATGAGACTCACGTTCTGGAGGCACATCCTCTCAAATGGGTGTCCCTGGTAAGCTGGTAAGCAGTTGTCTATCATGAGGATGCCAAGCTCTGAATCCTGGAAAGCAACGAGCGTAAAAAATAATGAAAAGTATCCTAATGGTGCATGCATACATACATGTGTGCAATCATTTGCTGTAGAGAATAAAATATTGGAATTGGATACTGTTAAACAATGAAAAATAATGCATATCACATCCTGTTATGACATATGCGTTA